GTCTTCCGAAAAAGTAGACAGGATTATAATGTGCATCTGCATGTATATCGATATTAAAACAAATAAAACAATTTCGACCGCTATCTTTGTAGACCCACTGGAGTCATATTATGGGCAAGCAAGGGTTCATGCTTTACCACCGTGAAGAACACAGCCACAGTGGAAGGAGCAAACTGAGTAATCCACCGCAAGTTTGATAGAATCAGTGCTCTGAACAGCTGAGCAATGAGGTCCCCGCCGACAGCCCTTTGTTTTACAACATTCGGGTCAATGCCAGAGTGTATGAAATGCACCAATTCTAAGCAAAATTACCCAAGCAATAGATATAAAATTCATCGAAGATCTATTGAGTTCCCTTTGACAACAAAATTGTACAATTCAGGGTCCCCAATTCAGAAAAACTCGGTGACCACGGTGAGATATCGATCTACCAATGGGAGCACCATGCTTCCGCACAACTAACCCTCTAACCACCGGAGCTACGATGCCCGACTAGTACTTTTGGGTTTATTCACGTGTGGGCTAGGGTAGGGATTTCATGTTGTCTCACTATCTTAACTTTTCATACAAGTAGGTGCTCATTTCGTAGCGCTGTAGAGCCTGCTTTTTGACTTCGCTTTCCCAATTTTTCGGTCGATAAGCTCAAAAATGCAGTGCTAGAGGTAACAAGTCACTTAATAGCAGATCGATTTGGTGTTCATTAGGACAGAAAAAATTGAAACGTCCGCGCAAAGTGCTGCTGCACAACTACCACTCTAACCACTGGAGCTATGATGCCCTGGCTGGTTGTTTTGGGTTTATCTTGACCTTGTAACTTACCATTCGTACAGCTTAGGTAGTAGCTAAAAGGCTCAGACACGTGCTTTACCGGTATTCTGCCGCGGTTGGACACAGCTGCGAGGAGTCCACCTCATCAATGGCCCCCCCATCAGCTTTTCCTGTTTGCTTCCTAGTTAATATACCAGTTTTAAAAGTTCGGTGTTTTCACTTCTGATCGCAGTATACATCAGTATATTTGAAGTATAGGGATGCAGAGCGAAATTTTAAATATATATTTGGTCTACGCCATTATAATTTTAATAGACTGATGTGTACCGCAATCGGAAATTAATTTCGGACGAAATAAAAAAGCTGGTTTGAGTTTATTTGCGTGGGGATCTAGGGTAGGGATTTGTTTTTTCTCACTATTTTTACTTTTCATGCAGGTAAGTGCTCATTTCGCAGCAGTATCAAGTCTGCTTTTTTGACTTCCTTTTCCTACATTTCGGTCGATTTTCCCAAAAAAGCAGGAGACGCTGCTGTAGTGGAAAGACCGAAAAGCGTGAATGGCTGAATATTTCGCCCTCACTTACCCCCATTGTTGATGCTCGTTCTGGATAAAAAAAAGTGACGGTTCTGACTAGTCCGCCGTAAAAGGGGAAGCGTATTCATCGTTCATCCTTTCAACTTGTCAGTTGTTAAGGAGATCTGCACAGCCTCTCGTGGGGATTTGATTTGCGGTATTTGCCATGGGAATTAAAAGTCAGGAGTCTGTAGTTACTTACGGGACAGATTTTTCTAGAATTCGTTTAAATTGCATATTTAATTAATTCTGGCTGACTGGCTGGCTCGCACGCGAAAGCTGCATTCAACGTCACGAGTTCATTCTTTTGGGTTTTTAGGGCAGGTGTGTTGTACAACAACCTATGTTACTAACAGTAGCAAAATCCCTTTCACTCTTTACTCTAATAGTCAAACGTCGGACGATATATTTTGATGGTGGTAGCG